CATTCTTCTATGACTACTTACTCCAGTTTAACCTTTTCCTCACTGGCTGACAATAAAGCTCAGCCAGAAGCATCCTGCCATGAATTGTTAATTCCCTTAAACTAAACCTGACAATTTCCAAGCTATTAGTTTTTTACTTGACATGCCAACTCCTTGCTCAGGACTCCACATCCTTGTTTAAACACCAGTCATTCTGCAGGTGGTTATGGGATGCTGAAGTGCTCGCAGCTGCTGAGAGGCTGCAGGAGTGTTTCCTCTAGACATACTAAAGGCAGTAACATTCCCTCAGCACAAGACCTGCCCAATCAGCACCAAGTCTTGTTTACTGAACAAGTGAAAAAACTCACTTTTTTGATCAATATTACATGCTATTTTTTTTTAATTTGAACACAATTATAACCACATTTCCTAAAGCAACAAGGCACATGCAGTTGTATGATCCCACTGTCCACTCAACCTCCTCCTTCTTCCCGTTATTTTATCATAGAATCACAGAATGGTTTGGGTTGGAAGGGACCTTAAAGATCATCTAGTTCCAACCCCCCTGCCATGGGCAGGGACACCTTCCACTAGACCAGGTTGCTCCAAGCCTCATCCAGCCTGGCCTTGGACACTTCCAGGGATGGGGCATCCATAGCTTCTCTGGGCAACCTGTCCCAGTGCTTCACCACCATCTCAGGGAAGAACTTCTTCCTGATATCTAAGCTAAACCTCCCCACTTTCAATTTAAACCCGTTACCCCTTGTCCTATCACTACAGGCCCTTGTAAAAAATCCCCCCCAGCTTCCTTGTAGCCCCTTCAGGCACTGGAAGGGGCTATAAGGTCTCCCCGGAGCCTTCCCTCCTCCAGGCTGAACACCCCGACTCTCTCAGCCTGTCCCCATAGCAGAGGGGCTCCAGCCCTCGGAGCATCTCTGTGGCCTCCTCTGGACTCACTCCAACCCGTCTATATCCTTCTGATGTTGAGGACTCCACAGCTGGACGCAATATCCAGTATTTTGAAACGCAACAGCCAATTTCAGCTACATTTGAGAGCAGGGGACAAGTCTTACAAGTTTTGTAACTCACATCAATTACAAATGATGCGTTAGTGTCTGTGAAGTGCCCAAGACTTACAGCAGGGAATTGACACAAGTCTGACATAACAGATCATGATCTCGAATTCTCTGACCCACAGAACTCCTTGTTTCAGTTCTAACCCTAACGCTAACCCTGTCTTATAGGGAAAG